GTTTCTTCACGGTCCTGAGGGCCGGTGAGGGCCCCAAGAGGCCCAAAATCATGCGAACCCCCCCGCCGTGATTGTCTCATAACCCGAGGGGGTCTGGCCACGGCGCCAGCGGTCAGGCCCCGGGTCAGGAAGCGCGGCGCAGCTCGAGAAAGCCGGGCCCCGAGGCGCCCACGCCGCCAAAGCGCCACGGCGGCTGCCTGGGGGCCCGTGCGGCGGTCCCACGACGGCCACTCTTAGGGGCTCGGCGGCGGCCCCCTCCTCCCGGGGCCCCCTCGGGCCATGAACAAATCATGGCGGGAATTGGTTCTCGCTCTTTCGGCCTCGGGGGGCTCTCACCGGCCCTCGCGGGACCGTCCAACAAAACGGCGCGGGAGGCAACCCCGGTCCTGGGATGAATGGTTCCAGACCGCTGGGGGTCCACGCCACAAAGAGGTCACGACGTCGGGGGTCTGGGCCCCCGGGGCCCCCCCCATCCCCAATCCCCACTGGCACAGCTCGTTCGTCTTCTTGCTCTGCCGCTTGTCCACGGCACGAGCCTCCAGAAGGCTGCTCCCACCTTCGAGCACTGCGGTGTCGCCGCAGCCATGCTGCGCCGCAGCGCGAGACGGAGGAGCGGATGAACGGCGTTGGAGCTCTCGGAGCACCGCGTGCTGCCTCCAGCGGAGAGCCATGGTACTGGGCCCCGTCCCCAGTGGCACAGGCCGTGAGGCCAGTGTCTGGCCCTGTCGGGAGGCCTGGGAGAGCCATCGGCGTCGAGAAGAGCGCTGGGTTCTCCTCACCCTCTTTCTCTGGCAGAGAGAAGCCAGCACAGAGCCAAGCATTGTCGCTTCACAGAAGCTATATAAACACTCCGCTTGCCCCACAGCTAGACCCTGGAACGCGTCGTGCCGCGCGATCATGGTATAGAGGTAGTCCTTGGTAAGCTCGGCATCCAGGCGATCTGACAAGAGGCTTCCAAGACGCCCAGAATTGCCTGCAAGACGGCCCTGGCGCGCCCCAGGAGGTGCCCAAATCGGCCCACAGAGTCCCCCAAGCTTCCGACGGCATCAGTCGGACCAGGAACGCCCTCAGGCGGCCAAAGAGCCTCCCAAGGAACCTCCAAAGGCCCCCAAGAGGGCCAAGGAAGCCCCCATGAGGCCACCAAGAAGCCCCCGAGAAACTCCCAGGAGGCCCAAAGGGTGCCCCGCTGTCGTCCCAACGTGCCGCCTCCGTCCTGGCAGGCCTCCGACGCCATGCTTTCTGCAGGACGCAAGGAACGGAGATCGCGACCCCGCCTGTCGCATGGATCCTGCGCCGCGTGGGCGACCTCGTGGCTAGGTCCAGGGCCCGAAGTCAGGCCCCTGCAGAGGTTGGCCGCGCGCGCAAGGGGGTGGGGGGAGGGGGAAGGCTTCTTAGAAGGAGGCTGTTTCTTAGAATGCGCGGGCCTTACATCTATTGACAAGGTCCGCGCCTTCTAAGAAGCAGGGGTGCTTCTAAAAAGCCTTCCCCCTCCACCATACCCCATACCCCCCTTCTGCGCGTGGCCAAAGAGGCCCGAATCCACCAAACCTGGCGTGCACGCTCGTCTCTCAAGGCGCCCCCCCTCATGATTCCTAAGCGGCCCGACCTCTGCGAGGCACGAACCCCCCCGGGTGCCTCCTGGGCACACCCCTGCAGGGCCCGCGCCGCGTCCCGAGCGCCGTACTCTGCAAGCTCTGAGCCTGTGGAGGCCGAGGACGCGGTGGCGACAAGCCGGCCGCCTCGATACTCTGTCGGGTCGCTCGTGCGCCTGGGCGCCAGACGGCTGGGCCCGGCCCCTGCCGATGCCAGACTAGAAGAGGGGTGTGAAATGGAACTGTCAGAATTCCGCGCAGATGTCTTCGAACCGCGCTGGGCCCCCGTCAATGGCGCGCGAAACGCGCCAGGGCGGCGCTGGAGGCGCCGCCAGGGGGTTGCAGTGCAGGTCCAAGGACTCCGCGCGGAGTCCCGAAAGTTCTTGTTTTTGCGAAGTTCGCCAACGTGGGCCCCGAACAGTGTATTCCTAGCTATCGATGTTCGCAATCCATGTGGCGCTGTTTACGTGGTGCAATATAGGCGGTGCAATTCACCTTGCCGAACTTGAGGTTGTGAATTCAACGGCTCGCGCAATCATCCCACCCACCCACCCGCAACAAGGTTTGCAAAACCCCTTCGGTGGCGATTGCGATGATTGTTCGGCGCTAGCTGGCGCATCGCTGCGGCCGCGTTAACGGCTAACGCGCATGCTCGGTCGCGAAACGGCCAGCTAGTTTGGCGCGACCGACGTGGCCGTGGTGGCGCTGACCGCTGGGCACTTCCCAACGGGCATGTCAATGCGAATCGGCGGTTTGGGTGGGCGCGGTAATTATCATGGCAACGCCGACAACGGTGCACACGATGATAGTAGTGGCGATGCTGGCGACGATGACGACAACAACGACGGCAAGGCCAGTGACGGCGCCAATGCTGATCACGCCGACGACGATGACAGCGTCTTCGCGTCGGTGATGAAGGAATTGGAACGAGTTCGACATCCGCGCGCGGCCGACGCGCGAGAGCGGCCCGCATGGTATTGTTTGACGCGGTTCGTGCCCCCCCAGCGCGCGCAAAAGCGGCCGAATGATCTCGACATGCGGCGCACGCGGCACGTTTGACAGAACTGGATGAAAAGTTTGAAACGCTGGTGATTGTCCAAGGAATTCGCAGGGGCGCGAGCGCAAGCAATTTTCATCACTGATGTTGCCAAACCATTTCTTGTTCTCGTGTTTTTGTTGAACACTCGATTTTCAAATCCCTACGAAAATCAAAGTTTCAGATAAATTCCAGCATGCGTGCGCGACGACGCGCGCGTGTCCACTTCGCCCCGCTTGTTTGCAAAGGCTTCTTGCGACATCACGCGCGCAAAAGGCGTTCGAACGATGCCGACATTCGCGCGCGAGAAGCACGTTTGGTAGCATTTGGTGAAGAGTTTGAAGACCAGTGGTTTGCGTAATAATGGGCAGAAGCGCGAGCGCAGGCTTTTCTAGACAGCTCCTGCTGCGAAGTTATATGGTTGTTCGATGTGATCGGGAAACTCGGTTGTGACATCCTGTCGAAACCTATGTTTTTGGTTGATTTCGGCATGCGCGCGCGACGACGCGCGCGTGCGCACTTCGTCAAGTTTTGTTGCAAGGGGTCCTTGGAATCTGACGGACACTGATACACGATTGCGCGCGGATAATATTCTTTGCAGAGGATGAGGGGGGGGGGGCGATACACGTTTAGCTGGGGTACTACGAGCTCATTTTTAGGATGGCGGATGGGACAGAATCGCATGCAAATTGCGATACGCGAAGGGGGTTCGTAAGTCGAGGGGGTGCGGGAGAGGGAAATCAGATCTTCTGGTTCAAAAAATAAAAGAGAACGCACGTGGTGCAAAGTGTGTGATGCAATTCGCCCTGCCTGATTTGAGGTTGTTGACTCCACTCGTCGCGCAGACATCCCACCCACCCACCCACAAGTTGGTTTGCAAAACCCATGCGGCGGCGATGGCGATGACTGCTTGGCGTTGGCTGGCGCATCCTTGCGTCGCGCTAGCGCGCGCAGGCTCGTGCGCAGAGCGGCCAGCAGGTTTGGCGCGACTGGCGCGGCCTCGGTGGAGTTAAACGCTGGGGACCTCCCAGCGCGTCTGGCAAACCACGCTGACGCGCGAGCACTTGAGTGTGCTCGTCGGTGACACGGGCACGCGCGGCGCCATGGCTACGTCGACAACGGCACACACGATAATGATAGCAGCGATGTTGGAGGCGATGATGACAATGGCGGCGGCAAGGCCAATGATGGCACCGATTTTGATCACGCCGATGACGATGATGGTGTCCATGTGTCAGTGATGATACGTTGGAAGGACTTCGACATGCGCGCGTGGCCGACGGGCGCGAAGTATTTGATAGGGGCCGCGACGCCCCAGCACGCGCGCAAGGGCGTTCGAATGAGTTTGACATTTGCCCGCGAGAGGGCCGCTTCGTCGAAATGATGAGCATGTTGAGAACCGAATGTCTCCCGTGCAGATTCGCAGGAGTGCGCGCCAACTTGTTTGAGAAATCGAATTGCCAAACTGTATGCTCCCCGGGCACTCGATCAGAAAATTCTCACGGAACCTAAATTTTTGAAGCATTCAGGCATGCGCGCGCGACAGCGCGCGCGCGTGTGCACCTCGCTCCGTGGGCTGCAAGGGATTATTGCAGATTGATGATTTGTGATAAACGAGTGCGCGCGCATCGTACGCTTTGTCAAGGATTGGGGGGTGATACGAGTTTGGCTGGGATGGTATAAATTCAGATGTAAAATGACAAGTCGGACAGAATCATCTATAAACTGCACATCAAACTATGTACGGAAAAGGTTTGTGGAAGGATGGTACGGGGGCCGATTCGCTTTTAGAAAGGAGGCTCTTTGTTGTACAATCGATGTGCCGCGATCTATGTGGTGCAACCTACGTGATGTAATACATGTGGTGCAGTCGATGTGGAACAATATACGTGGTGCGATATCGGTTGTGTAAGGTATGTTGTGCGATCTATGTGGTGCAATGCATGTGGTGCCATTTATGTGATGCAATATTTGTGGTGCCATCCACGTGGGGCAATCGAGCAATCCATGTGGTGCACAACAACGCGGCGGCGACGGGGACAACATAGCCGCCAGACCGCCACCCAGGCCCAGACGACGGGCGGAGACGAGGCGGCGACGGGGCGGCGACGGCGACAACGTAGCCGCCAGAGCGCCACCCAGGCCCAGTCCCTTATATAACAGAAAACAGACCCCTACGAGCAAGGACTGGTTGGGATGTATTGTTTCCTCGAGACACCAGGTGGCTGGAGCTTTTTTCACCCCGCGGGCCGCAGACCCACACGGCGCTGGCCTGCCGCTCCCGGCCAGCGCGGTGGGCGCCTCAGCGCCTCACCCCTGGAAGGTCGGGCCACCCGCAGTGGTAGGTGTCGTCCCAGTGCCCGAGGGGCACGCCGCTGTCGTTGAAGGCCTGGTGAACGACGCGAAGTCAAGAGTTGGGGCGAGGTGACTCCGAGCTCGGGGGGCTCGAACTTGCCCGACGGGGCCGTTAGGCAAGGGCAAGATCTGGCTTGAGATTTGGAAGCAACTGGCTGCAAGCATCTCACGGAAACTGGACCGTCAGAATCTGCGCCACGACAATCAGAAAACGGCGGCAAACATGGAATCCGGCACAGTCGAGTCTTACACTTCCTCGGAAGGGGGGCAGCACTCTCAGAACAGGATGGGCTCCAGGCCTCAGAGCAGGCGTCTCAGAAGGCAGGAATGCTTGGAAGATTCCCCCCGCCTTCTTAGAAGGTCGCCCCGCTCGCGCCAGCCGATACGTTGTCTTTTGCAGCCCGCGGCCCCATAGGTCCCGGTCGCTTCCCTGGGGGCAATTTTCCGTCACGGGCCCATGTGTGATGACCCCTGGGCCTGACAGAGGCTCCCATAGAGCCAGAATCAAGGAACACCCGTTGCAAAAAGTCAGATCCTCGGCGTTAGGGAAACGGGTCCTGAGGGAAACGGGTCCTGGACCCTGGGACCTTCCCCGAGCACGAGCTCTTCCTCATGAATCGCGTTCTGACGCTCCCAGGGCCCGTGGAGGGCCCCGAGAGCCCGAAAAGGATGAAAAACCTCAGGACCCGTTTCCATCAAGACGCGTTCACCCCACGGCGACGATGATCAGGGCTCGTTCGTTCCGCCAGCCTGGACGAGCCCGCAGAGGAACGCGTCCACGGTCCACCGCTTCGTGTTCTTGAACCCCAGCGGGATCTGGGGCGCCTGCAGCAGCCGCCGCTCAGCTGGCGAGCGGACCGCCGCGAAGCAGCCCGCGCTCGGGGCGCGGATCGCCGCCTCGTAGACGTGGAGCATTTTGCCAGCACAGAGCAGGTGCATGAAGTCCAGGTCGCGGTTGTGTAGAGAGCTCCTGTGACTTCTGTTCTTTTGTCTTCTCCAGCAGCGCTTACGACAGCGCAGCTCGAACAAGCAAGCGTGAGGTCCCTGAACTTGCTCCAGCAAGCGTCGGGCCCCTGAGCCTGCTCTGTCATAACGCATAATGCCGAAGAAGTGAGGAAAGGGACAGACAGAGGAGAAGCAGGAGGAGAAGGAGGAGGAGGAGGAGCAAGAGGAGGAGGAGGAGGAGCAAGAGGAGGAGGAGGAGGAGGAGGAGGAGGAGGAGGAGGAGGAGGAGGAGGAGGAGCAGGAGGAGCAGGAGGAGGAGCAGGAGGAGGAGGAGGAGGAGGAGCGAAGGCGGAGCAGAGGATAACGAGGGCGCTGTGTGCGTGGGACCCCCATGGCCCAGCAGCGAGCTCCTGTGAGCGATCGTCCAGTTGGGCGTCACGAAGCTTAGGCCTGGCCTCTGCTCAAGGCACCAAAAAATGCCATCAACACATCGCTTCGGAGGTCCGCGCGGACTTCTTGGATCGGCGCTGGACCCCCTCGGGGGCGCGCGGAGCGCGCCAGGGGATGCGCCGGAGGCGGCGCCAAGGGACCTCAGCGCCGATCCAACAAATCCATGCGGACCTCCTGAAGGTTCTGTTTGGCTGCCATCGCTCGGGCGTCCCTTCCCCGTGCAGGTGTCGCTTCGTGCGCTCCTGTGCTCGCAGGATGGTCCAAGATGCTCCTCGATGGTCACCAACACCAAGACAGGGGGCTGCCTCCTCAGGGGGGAGATGATCCTAGATTTCGGTGGTAATATTTCGGTCACCTTGGAAGCCAGAATATTACCACCATCACCGGGATGGGGATCTTCTTCCCTCAGTGGAGGAACACCGCCGATCTTGGTGCTGGTGTCCACCTCTATATGGGCCTGCGATCCTCGCCGAGAGAGAGCGGGCACGCCCGAGCGACGCCGAGATTGTGCCATTTTTGGCGCCTCGATCTGCTCGCACATCCGGTCAAGCAGCAGCTCCGGGGGGCCCCCCGCCTCCGCGCCCTCCGCGCCCTCGCCGGGCGACCGCTGCAGCACCACGTCGGGCCGCACGGCCACCACCCTGTCGAAGCTCCCGCCGCCCTGCACGACGCCCGCGACCACGCGGTGCACGCGCTCCCACCTTCGGCCACCCCCAGACCTCCAACGTGTTGAGAAAATCACGACGGAGGCTCTTTTGGTTTTCTCGGGGGCGGCCAAGACGGGGGCGTCCAGGAGGGAGGGGTGCAAATCATGACCGCTGGCATGTGCGCGGTCCAACGGGGCGCCAGGGACGTAATGAAACAAGAAGAGGCGCCACGAAATCTGGGGAGATATCATGGCCCACGCCATGATACCTACCCCCCTAGTCATCACCCCCCTCTTTTCCGCTCCCGATTTTCGGCGGCCTCTGGCGGCCCTCGTCGGGCCCCGGGACCGTCAAAAAACGACGGAGGATGAAACACCGATCCTGGGGAGTGGGTCGAGACTGCCGGGGGCCCCGTGTTGAAAAATCACGACATCGGATCTCTGGGACCGCACCCTCAGAACCTGGCGTCGCAATTTTGCCGCAACAAGCGTATGCGTCCAGTTTCGAGCACGAGGACCCTCACGGATCGATCTGGCCCGACAAATGGTGCAAAGACAGGTGGTGTCTGGGGTCTCTGGGGCTGCACTTGTGATTTGCTTCCATGTTGCATGTTTCCACCGTCGGATCTCAGGGACGCAAGAAGAGCGGACCGTATAGGCAGGGACAAAAAAAAACACGACTCGAGCCATGCGGGCCCCATCTTTGTTCTACAGTTCTGCAACCAGATCGACGTGTGATGGTCCCAGGGCCCATAGCCGGGTGAAGGTGTTCGGTGTGAAAACAAAATTTAGACTTCAGGATCTCGGGGTCCGCGGAAGGGTCACACTTCCCAAACACCTGGCGTTTTTCCACGACGCGGACTCCTGGCGGTCTTGACCCATCTTCAGGGACCCGCTTTTCATCCCGATGGGCCTCCAGAGGCCGAAAACATAGCAAAAACCTGCCGTCCATATTCCCAAAGATCCGATGTTGTGATTTTTTCCATGCGGTGTCCCCGGAAGTCTCCCCCAGGACCGGCTTTTCATCCTGCGTCGTTTTGTTGACTGTCCCGGGGCCCGGCGAGGGCCGCTAGAGGCCGTCAAGTGCGACAAAAACTCAATATTGATTTTATCAATGCGTTGGATCTCTACGTAGGTTTTTTCACGGCGTCCGTGGGTCTGCATGGGTTCTGCGCAGCCGACACCACGGGGCGCAGCCCGAGCCCGTGCGCAGCAGCGCGGCGGCGCCGGCGGGGGCCCACTCGAGGCCCACCTCGCAGGGCGGCGGCGGCAACGGCGGCGGCGGCGGTCGCAGTCGTCGTCGTCGTCGTCGTCGTCGTCGCCGTCGTCATCGTCGTCGTCGTCGTCGTCGTCGTCGTCGTCGTCGTCGTCGTCGTCGTCGTCGTCTGCCGGCGAGTCGGTCGGCCGGTTGCAGCAGCGCGGCGGCGCTGTTGGGGGCCCACTCGAGACCCACCTCGTAAGGCGCTTCCGACGCCTCGCCAAGCGGCGCGCCGCCGGGTGCGGGCGGCAGCTGGGTGCCCAAGGCGCCGCAGAGCGGACCGGGGTCGACGACCTCCACCTCTCCAGAGGCCCCCTAGATCCATAAGACCCCCTCGTGTCATGATGAAAATCACGACGAGAGGTTTTTCGCTGTTTTTGGCTTCTGGGGGGCCTCACAGGCCCTCTGGACAATGCATAGACGACTCGGGATGAAAAACCGGTCCTGGGGAATGGGTCTGGGCCGCTGGGGTCCACGTTATGGAAAATCATGACGTCGGGGGTCTGGGTTTCTAGAGGCCTCCTTGATGGGTCCAAGTAGATGGGGTCGGAGGATCGCACCGCATCGCCGATGCATCGGCGGTGTATCGCCAACGCCAGCGCGGAGAAAATCGGGCTCCACATCGAGCCGCATCGCCGATGCATCGACGTTGCGGCGCGATCCTCCGACCTCATTTACTCGGACCCCAATTGAGCGAAGATCAAAAACGGGTCTTGCGCGAGATGTCACTGCGATCTGACGCGGTGGCTGACGCGGGCCAGGGGCGCGGCAGGCCACGTCTGCAGCGAGGGCGGCTACGTGCGACCTTACGCGGGCAGCGCACGCGCCGAACTATGACGGTGAAGACGGCCCCGCTCTCCTCCGCCGCTCACTCTGGAGGCCTGGGCTCTCGGGCCAGACGAGCCCCGAGATCCCAGCTCTCCGACGGCACGCTTCCGTCCCTGGCGCTCCTCTGGGACTGCGGCCTCGGGGGTCCTCTGCCGGGGACGGCACACTGGCCCCGGGAGTGGGTCGGGGACTCCGGGGCCGCACACGGAGACCATCACATCGTCGGGCGACGGGGACCCTGGCGTCGCAACTGTTCGCGCGTGGCGGCTTCGCCCCGTCCTGGGCCGCAAGCCCCCGGCCTGGCTCGGAGGAGTGCCTCAGAACGATGCGGTCTGGGGCTCCGGCCGTGATTCCGGGCTATTGGCGTTGTGTGGTTCCTCGCGACGTCGGACCTCCGCAGAGCTGGCTTTCCTGGCGCCTCCCGGCGCTGGACACACGGGGCCGCGGCCAGCTGCATGCTGCAACTATCGTATCCCCAGCCCGCCCGACCCGGACCTGGCGGGGGGCGATGACCTCCTTGATGGCCCGCAGCTGTGACGCCCGGTCGGTCGGTTCCTCGCACTTGCGGGACCCCCACCTCGGCGAGTCGCTGTGGCACCCTAAGCGGAGCAGGGCTGATCGGGGCAACGGCGGCTCAACCGTGCACCCCTCCCGGGGTCCAAACGCAGCAGCTTTCCAGGCTGCGTCCAGAGATGGCGACGAGGGGGCCCCCGAAAGCCACACCGCTGTTGTCTCAACTTGCCCGCCTCTGACCTAGGCTCGTGTCGGTGCTGAAAACGATCCTGAACTCGTAGCCGGCCTCCTCGTTCGGCACCAGCAGCGACCGCTCCAGCCCAGGCCACGTGGCCTCGAAGTGCCGGGTCAGGCCGGCCACTATGAGCAGCACGCTCCTGGCCCCAGGGGCTGGGGAAGGCACCGCCGCCGCCACTCCTCGGACTCCTTCCTGGCCAGTGCGGCGTGACCCTCAGCGCCCCCTGCACGGGGACTCCGATCGACCAGGACACTGGCGCGTCTGAGAAGACTGCGGCCGTGGATCCCAGCACTCCCCACGCTTCGCTCTCCCCAGATGGAACTTTCAGAATCCTACTTTGCAGTGTCCTGATGACAAGGGGCCCTAAGACCCAGACCTCCGACGTCATGATTTTCTTATGGCGTCGACCCCCAGCGGTCTGGACCCATTAGCCGGGACCGGTTGTGTATCCCGAGTCGTTTGGCGTTCCCAAGGGCCGGTAAGGGCCTCCAGAAGCCGAAAATATAGAAAAACCTCCCGTCGTGATTTTGTCACGACCCGAGGGGGTCTGGGTTTGCAATGTCCTGATGACAGAGGGCCCTATAAAACTGTGGTTTCGAAGCGATCCTGGCCGCCGTTGCGACGAGGCGCCCCCAGGAGGCCCAAGAGGTGGGCCTGTTTTCCACGACCACCACCACAAGTTGGATGGGGGGAAGGAGGAGGACGAGGAGGAGGAGGAGGAGGAGGAGGACGAGGAGGAGGAGGAGGAGGAGGAGGAGGAGGAGGAGGAGGATCTCCTCCCCCTCCAACTTATGGCGGTGGTGGTGGAAAACAGGCCCATCATGGGCCCCCGCACGTGTGCCCAAACTGCCCCGTCTCTCAAGCTGTGCCCAGGTTGTGGCAACGAGAACCTCCATCCAACCCAGACCCCCTCGAGTGAAAAAAAATCAAGGCGGGAGGTTTTTCATTATCTTTGGCCTCTGGGGCCCTTGCCGGCCCTCGGGACCGTCAAAAAACGACTCAGGGCGAAAAGCCGGTCCCGGGGAAGGGGTCCAGACCTCTGGGGGTCGACGTCATGGAAAAATCATGACGTCGGAGGCTAGTCTGGAGCCGTGGCAGCGAGAACCTCCATCCAAGAACGCTGGCCAAAGACCCCAACAGACGACGATCACGCGCCGGCCCGCTCTCCGAGATGACGCTCTCCCCAGGGCTCGCTCTCTGATGGCCCTCGGAGCCCGACGGCGGCCCCGAGACGCCGCCAACCGCGTTTTTGTTCGTGGGCAGATGGCAAACAGCGCGGCCGCTGGCGCCCCAGCGCGGTGCCGACTTGTAGTCGGGCACCTGTGGCAGCTGGGCCACGCGGCGCGCCGCCCGGCTCCGCCGCCCCCGGCGCAGCGCGGGTGGCCGAGCAGGGGCGGGACTTGCCCGCGCGCTGGGCAGTGGGTCCTGCCGCCCTGGGCATCCCATCAAGGCGCCGACGTCTGCGCTTCCCCCGCGTCATCGAGACTGCAGCCAACCAGCCTCCCACCCCCAGGAGAGGGGATGAGACGAGCGTGCAGGGGGGCCCCTCTTGGCCTGGAGGACCCTCGACGGAGGGGCCCGCCGCGATGACAGCAGGCGGCGGCCACGCGGCAGTGGCAACTGGCAGGAGCGTGCCACGGCGCGCTCAGGACGGGACGACGGGCGGGGGCGGCGAGAGGTGATGGGGAAAAGGATTCCGCTCCAAGAAGCCTCTGGGGGTCGCGATCCCTGCTCCCGCCTGCAGGGCGGGGGGGGAGAGGAGCAGCGGTCCCCAGACGACCCCCCCCCCCCGTGACCGCGCTCGAGCCGCGAGAAGGGTGAAGCGCAACGCCCCAACGGTAAAGCAGATGTTCATGTGTGATCTCGCCCGGCTGCAGCAACATCGCGCAATATAGCGGCTGGCGGCTTCCGAGAACACTGATCCCGGGCACTAGGGGAACAAAAAATGACATAAACATAAAAACTCGGAGGTCCGCGCGGATTTCTCGGATCGGCGCTGGGGCCCCCTGGCGGCGCCTCCGGCGCCGCCCCTGGCGCGCGCGCCAGGGAGGCGGTCCAGCGCCGAACCGAGAAATCCGCGCGCACCTCCGAGTTTTTATGTGTATGCTATTTTTGTTCCCCTAGGGACGCACTAGCCCGGGCCACCACAGAACCGGGTCGGCCAGGGAGGGGGGAGGGGGAGGGGGGGGGGAGGGGAGAGGAGGAGGAGGAGGAGGAGGAGGAGGAGGAGGAGGATGAGGAGGTGGAGGAGGGGAGGAGGAGGAGGAGGAGGAGGAGGAGGAGGAGGGGAGGAGGAGGAGGAGGAGGAGGAGGAGGAGGAGGAGGAGGAGGAGGTGGAGGAGGAGGAGGAGGAGGAGGAGGAGGAGGAGGAGGAGGAGGTCACCACAAGACCGGGTCGGCCAGGGCCCCGTCGCGAAGCCCCGCTGGCTGCGTGGTGGCTGCCAAAGCCGGGCCAGCCGAGCCGGGCCAGCGGAATGCCGCGGCCCCCGCGTGGCTCCCGCGCCCCCGCCAGCCAGAGGAGTGGGCTGGCCCCGCGCCGCGCTGAGCCCCGGGGAGCCCCGGCCACAGACAGTTTTTTTGTCCTCGGCAAACAAATCCACCTCTCAAGAATCCGCTGCCCCTCGAGGAGGCTTTCCTGAACTCCGCGCACGACACACAGAACCTGGCAGAGAGCGAAAACCAGCAACGGTCACAAACAGGGTGCATTCCATACAGTCGGATCTGGGCCAGACGAACATCCTTCGAGAACACGAGACCCTCTCCGCCGCACCCCAGACCCTACCCCGAGTTTCTTCATAAGCGTCGGGGGGGGCGTCACCCCCGCCGACAGCCCCACATCGACCCCCGTCGCGGGCAGCCACCGCACGCCGAAGGCGCCCCGACCCTCGTCGCGGCACGATGACGAGGCGAGGTTGACCCCAGTCGGGGGGGTACCCCCCAACGCTTATTAAGAAACTCGGAGTCAGCCCCTTCGAGGGTGCCGTCCCCCAGGATGCACACGAACATATACGACAAGCACGACGAATGACAAGGTACTCCAGAGTTCGTAATAAAGGGAGGGGGGTCTCATTTCGGGGGGGGTCTCTTCCAGGCTATCTTGGAGGGCCTGGGGGGTCTGGGGACGATGTTTTGGAGGGTTCTCCCACGGGGGAGGTCTGAAATGGCTTGTCTTGGAGAGTCCAGATCCCCTCCCTTTTATTACGACATCTGCCCGAGCACACTTCGATCTTACACATCAGCCCGACTGTACTCCTGCCGGCCTTCCGCCAGCCTCTGCCGACGGACGGCCGCCGCCGTTCTCTCTGCTTGCGTTGGCTCCAGCCAGCCTCCCACCGCCTGCCGCCGAGGAGATGCCAACTCTCCTTCGGTGGCTCAAAGAGGGGCGGGGGGAGGAGGAGGAGGAGGAGGAGGAGGAGGAGGAGGAGGAGGAGGAGGAGGAGGAGGAGGAGGAGGAGGAGGAGTTCGAGGAGGAGGAGGAGGAGGAGGAGGAGGAGGAGGAGGAGGAGGAGGAGGAGGAAGGAGGAGGGAGGAGGAGGAGGAGGAGGAAGAAGGGCCCTTCCTGGAACGCCGCGCACGGTGCCAGCCATCAGCGCGAGGCGGGGAGGTATCCACCACCACCGCCCGGGGGATCGATCTCCGAGGGCACCAGCAGGCGGTGGACATCGATACGTCTTGCCCCCTCCCCCCAGGGCCCGAATGGTTCTATCTCCAGATCCACCGCCCGCCGAGGCCTCCGAAACTCGATCCCCGGGCGGCGGTGACGTGTAAGTAAATCCTCGCCTCGAGCAAAGAGGCACTGGGCCGTCGCGAAGAGGATACGAAGGTCTACGCCAGAGCCCTGCTCTCCCCCGGGCCCCAGAGGCTCGGGCCGCCTCCCCGGGGGGCCGCTGCCCCTCCCGGACGTCCAGCCCCCGAGTGCCGAGCTGGAGGAAGGCTCGCCCGCGGACAGACGTCAGGTTGTCGGAACTCTGGGGCTCAAGAGGGGCATTGTCGACTACGCGCAGGAGCGACCCTGGAGTGACCTGTGGCGCGCGGCTTACTTTCGGGGCCGCGGGGGGCCGAACACAAGCGGCGCAGGACGCTACCACCGCATCGTGCTCGGCGATCGGGGGACCCCAGTGGGCCCGCACCAGAGGTCACTTCGGCGAAGGGTCCCTCGCACGTGTAGTCGACATTGGGCCATCGCGAAAAGAACAGAGAGGTCCTCCTCCTCCGCCTTCTCCTTCTCCTCCTCCTCCTCCTCCTCCTCCTCCTCCTCCTCCTCCTCCTCCTCCTCCTCCTCCTCCTCCTCCTCCTCCTCCCCCTCGCCCTTGATCTCTTTCAAGGCCGCCGCCCTCCTCGGCGCGGCCTCTGTGCGCGCGGGCTCCAGCTGCAGCCCGGAGGCCGGCAGCGAGGAGGCCAGCGCCAGCAGCAGCGACAGCGGCCTCCCCATGTGGCGCTCGCCAGGCCTCGACGACGACGACGACGACGACGACGACGACGACGACGACGACGACGACGACGACGACGAGGGATCGTTCAATTGATCGATTTGGCACCTGAGCGTCTTCATGGCGACCGGGCATGCGAGGATACTGGACCGACGGATTCTGGCACGCTGGGGCACCAAGATTCTACAGTTAAGTGATCCTCGCGCAGACGCTCAAGGGCCAGACCCCTGAACTCAAGGATCTCAGGGTGCGTATGCGGGGCAACGATCGCCATGAGCCGCAGACACACCCGTATTCACGGCCTCGCGGCCTGGATACACGCGTTCGCATGAGGAGGGACATCCGCGAAGGAGCGCCCTGCACCCATGGGGTCGCGGCCCCGGGGCCCAGCCCGCAACGACGTGGATCTGGGTAGGTCCTTCTCCCGCGAGACAAATCGGAAGGGAGGACTGGCTCGGCGGGGGGGTGGCATCGACCCGGCATCGGCGATGCACCGCCGGTCGACATCGGCGGGAGCAGGCCCTCGATGGCCGAGGCGCTCGTGCCCAGGCGTGGCTATATCTGGCCCCCACCGGCGAGGAGTTGGGCGACTGGGGGTGGATGCGTTCCCTTTCGGGGCCGCCTCTGGGCCGAAGCACGCATCCGCTTTTCTCGGGTCAACGGCGGCTCCTCCTCCTCCTCCTCCTCCTCCTCTCCTCCTCCTCCTCCT